TTTCATTGCAATGATTACAGATCCCCTCCATGCATCATCAAATAACCAAAGGATACACCCCACAGGCCCCACCCCCCACCCCGGCTGTCAGCACACAGCCCCTCTCCCTCCCTGAGTCCTGTGTCCTCAGCCACTCTATCTGTCCACTTCTTCATCTCTGTCTCCATCCCTGGTGTCACTGCTACTCTGAGTAGGATCACGCTCTCTGCTCTTCTCACTTGATGGTCCCAGGGACCTCCATTCCTGGGCTGCAAATTCAATCACTCCCCTCCTTTTGTCAAAAAACATCTACCTCCATATTTCCTAGCCTCACAGTCAGACCTGATGGCACTTATTCACTATTGTACCACAAGAGTCTTATCCCCATTTCCTTTCACCAGCCATGTCCCAATAAATTGGAAATCATTCAGTGGAGGTTCTACCTACTCCTACCCCATCTGGAACTAGGCTCCCTCTTGAAAGCTTGTAAGCCAGTCACTTCTTGCCTTTATAGCCTTCCCCGACCCCCCTTTTTGGGTAACCAATGTCTAAGTAGCCCATCCCTGTCAACCCTGTGTACTGAGGGGGTGGGAGTGATCTCATAAGTAAGTATTTTAAGACCTCTTTGCTTTTAGCAAAGAAGATTGTATCATCTGCATATTGCAGATTGTTAGTGAGTCTTCCTCCAGTCCTGATGCCACATTCTTCTTCATGTAATCCTGCTTCTCTGGTTATTTGCTTAGTATACAGATTGAATAAGTATGATGAAAGAATACTTGTACAATCTATATACTGAGCAAAGGTGGTGCAAACTTCTCCTGATTGTAAACCATTCAGTGTCCCCTTATTCTGTTCAAACGACTACCTCTTGGTCGATGTACAGGTTCCTCATGAGCACAATGAAGTGTTCTGGAATATCCATTTTCAGCAATATTGTCTATAGCTTGTCATGATCCATGTGGTCAAAAACTGTTGCATAGTCAAAACACATAAACCTCTTTCTAGTATTCTCTGCTTTCAGCCATGATTCACCTTACATCAGCAGTGACATCCCTAGTTCCATGTACTCTTCAGAATCCAGTTTAAATTGCTGGCAGTTCTCTGTCAATGTACTATTGCAATCATTTTTTAATTGCCTTCAGCAAAATTTTACTTGCATGTGATGTTGTTCAGTGAATTCCTCAAAACTGCCTCTTTAGCTACCTATAAATAAATCCCCCCCTTCCCACAATGACTTTTTGCTTTTTACTTCCAATGTGTGTTAGATACAGGCACACATTTTACAGATCAAAGGTACATTTAGGGTCTTTCAGATTCTTGAATTCTTAAGTTTGATGAACAGGGATTTGATTATGCTTACCACAAAGCTGTAGGAAGGAGATTTGAGGTCTGAATAATTACTTCTTAGGCATCAGAACTGTATTAGCTGTTCTGTCTTCACAAGTTAGTTGTAATTCTTAGGTTTTGACTAGATAATAACAACTCTTAGTCATTTAAGTTAAAGATTTCTCATTTATTTATGCTATCGGTAAGAATCATTGGTAGTATAGTGGGTTACACATTCAGCTGCTTAGCACAAGGTCAGCAGTTTGAGTCCACCAGGTTCTCCATGAAAGAAAGATGAAGCTTTCTGCCCCTATAAAAATTTACATCCTCAGAATCCCTATGTCAGGGTCTCTGTGAGTTGAAATCGACTACATGTCCCACCACCACGTTGTCATTAAAATTCTTCTGACTTAAATCATCCAAGTATCTCTGTGGGAAAACAAAGTAACAATAGAAAATAAGACAAAAATTACATGCAAATTAATAAAGTTCATTTCAGAGCCCAGAAATTTATCTAGATGTTTTTGAAAGTCGACATTTTCTGTGTATATTCATGATAGAAAAGTAAAAAAAAAAGTCTGTAAATGTAATGAAACTAAATACAAATTAATTTTAAGTATGTGCATTAATTCCAGAATTTGAATTTTTTGTTTTTTTGCAGCTCGGATCGTCTGATAGAAGAGACAATAAGGTAGGAATAATATTTTTACTTTATTGTTGCACATAAATTTAATGAACCAATTAGATTAACTCTAAAGTTAATTTCTAGTTAACACATTAATTAAATATTAATTAAAGTTAATTAATATTAACACATACTTAATATTTTCAGCCTCTACCTTTTTTTTCCCCCTCACTTTATAAAGAAAAACAGTCTTAAATGTGTGATTTGGTAAATGTCTTATACCTCTTATATAGACTTGGTTTCTGTCACAGGAGCTATGCGGAATCCACTGAAGTAACCTTTAGTATAATCTGAAATAATCATGAGGGTTTTTTTTTTTTGCTTAAAGTTTTATTTTTGTTGCTGTTAAGTGCAATTGCGTTGGGGTTTCTGTGGCTATAAATCTTTGTGGGAGCAGAAAGCTTCATCTTTCTCCCATGGAGCGACTGGTGGACGGGCTTTCATTGCCGACCTTATGGTTCTCAGTCTAGAGCTTATCCTACAGAGCCACCATGCTTCCGTCCTTTAAGTAAGTGACATTTATTTGTTGGTTTGAGTTGATGAATTCTCTAGATTCGATACATTTAAAAATACCTATTTTATAACAATGAACTTACTTTTTTAAGTAAGTTAAATTCTTTGCTTTAGAATTCATCATAGTGACCCTGTATAGGGTTCCCAAGGAGCAGCTGGTGAATTTGAACTTCCGACCTTTTGGTTCAAACATACCTTGCAGTCCATTGCTTTATCCTACAGCGTCACACCAGGATTCCTCATCAGTCCCGGGTAAATTATTCACCTTTCTTTATTTCTTGGAGATATGAGTAATAATCAATGCCTATCTCCTAGATTATTGAGAAGATTAGTAAAACAGTGCATGGGAAGAACTTTGGCACAGTACAGAGCCCTACAGTAAATGGACAGTTTAGTGAACAGCACACATTAGTACCCCATTTACTCTAGGTCTCTGTTGTCGGATAAGTTCTTCTAACCTTTGGAGTCTTCACTTTCTCATCTGTTTAAAAACATGGAATTGATAATGAATAGTACCTGCCCTGTAAGACTGCTGTGAAGAGTTCAGCTAGCGTGAGGAAAATGCCTGGCTGGTTGCAGGTCATCTGTAAATGGAAACTGTATTATTAACACTGTTTTTTACTCTTTAACATAATTTCAGACTTCAGAAAAGCTGCAAAGAATAGCATAGAGAATTCTCACATGCCCTTTAGCCAGATTCCCCAAATACTAACATTTACCACATTTGCTTTTTCATAATTCTTTTTATGAACTACTTGAAACTAAGTTGCAGACATATGTCCTTTCACCTCTAAATATTTCAGTGTTCATTTTCTAAATACTTATATTCATGTGGACTCTTGGGTTCTTAGTTATAATACTTACCTATCATTTATTTAATAATAACTGTAAGAAGCATAATTTTTAGTAATAATACACACTTATCATATATTGGAATTTTGTTTACTTGCATGCACTGGGTCTTCCATCTATGCAGAGTTTTCATGGAATTGCCTGATTGCTTACTAAAATAGCTCCCTTGTGATTTGCTTCACTTTCATCAGCACTTGAGGCCTGGATCACATGTTGCCAGGGATTTGTAATCCTTTTCCTTTTTTGCCCCCTCTCCTTTCTGCCTCATCTTCTAGGATCAGGCTGCCCTAATAAAGATTTTTAGCTCAGACCTGACCTATTTGAGAATGGGTAATGCGCTAGTCTGCAAAGTCAGTTTCAACCACAAGGTCGACAGTTCAAGCTCAATAGTCACTCCTCAGAAACCTTATATATATAGGGTCACTATGGGTCGAACCAACTTGATGGCACTCAACAACAGCAAGCTACAATATGAGCATGGGTGGCTCCATAGGATAAGCACTGGACTTCTAATTATAAGGTTGGCAGTTTGAGCCCACCAATAACTCCATGTGTTAAAGAGGAGGTTTTCTGCTTCTGCTAAGATTTTTTAAAGAGCCTTGGAAACCCTATATGGGATCAATATGAGTCAGAACTTACGTGATGGCACTTAACAACAACAGTATGGGCACAAGGAGCCCTGGTGGTGCAGTGGTTAAGCACTCAGCTGAATAAACTGTCAGCAGTTTGAACCTACCAGTCACTCTCCAGGCAAAAGATGGGGCTAACTGCTTCTGTAAAGATTACCGCTTTGGAAACCCTATGTATGGGACAGTTCGTCTCTGTCTACAGGGTCACTAAAAGTATGAATCAACTCGTCAACAAAGGAGCTGGTCTTGGGATTCACTTGGTTTTTTTGTTTAATGAGAGGCATAAAAGTTTTGGGTACCACTATGAGGTAAGTTTTGAGGCAGTTGAATCACTTCTACTATTATTTTGCTACTTAAGAAGTGAAAAACAATTTAAGATATTTCAATATTTCCCTATGTTTCAACTGTAATTTCATTGAGTATGAAACTAGTTATGATAACCTCTACAAGTAAATATAAAATGTACGTGTCAAATAATAATTAGTTTTGCATATTCCATATGTTACAGAATTATCTTTTGGGAACTGTATTTAAAATGTATACACATTATAAATTAGACTTCGGTATCAATTTATTAGAAATAACTAATATTTTAAATTCTATTCTCAAATTATAAATGTATATATAGTACTGTCTGTTTAAAAAATAAGTGATTGAGTTTAGTTCATAGAATAGGTAAGAAAGTTGAAGTTCCAGTAAGCACATCAATGATTTATCATTTTAAAAGCATTCTATATTATTTGGAGCTTACGTTTGCCTCTGAGTATTCGACCCTTGAAATAACAGCAGCCTAGTTTGACTCAGCTTGACTCCAAATGATGGAATGAGATGGGAAAGTATGTCTAGATATACTTTATGTGGTACTGGAAATCATGCATATTCAACAAGATAGCAGCATAATGTATGATGATAATATCCATTCTCCAAGGAATACAAAGTGCTTTACGGAAATTACTTTTTAATCTTTATCTACTTGTGAGGCGAAAGTGCATAGGAGATGGTGATAGTCCCAGTTGAAAAAACAGAGGCATATACAATGTAGGGCCTGGCCTCTTGATTTCTCAGCCTAAGTTTGGGCTGTTACTTTATGTAAGATCATCATAGCATTTAAATATACCTTATAAAGTGAATTTTTTAAAAAACCAGCCACATTTTAAATGTATTATATTCTATCATAGATACACACTGAAACTGAAAAATTATGAATTAAAAACGAACGACACAGAGTTGTGCTCTTTCCAATTTTTGGATCTAAAGCCCAATATATTGTGAAGTTGACATTGCCATGTGACTTCAGATTTCCTGGTTTTAAAGTAAATTCACTTTTTTCCCCCACTTAATTTTTGCTTTATCACTGTTGTTGTTGTTGTGTGCCATGGAGTCGATTCTGACTCATAGTGACCATGTACAGGGTTTCTGAGGCAGTAAATCTTTACAGGAGCAGAAAGGCTCATCTGTCTCCTGCGGAGCAGCTGGTAGTTTCGAACTGCTGACCTTGTGCAGTTCACAGCCCGATTTGTAACCACTACGCTACCAGAGCTCCTTTTTATCACTGTAATATGCTGTTACTGAAAAAACAGTTGCTCCATATTCCTCATTTCCCACCCTTGGTTCTGTTCACTAGAGGCGAGCATTAAATGTATTCTACTAATATTGATTGAGTGTCTCCTATAGCCAGGAACTGGGGATGTTATAGTGAACGTGTTCAATAAGCACTCAGCCACAGTGGCGCTTATATACACCAGTTCTATATCTTTGACTCTTACACCCACATCCATCTGGCTCTACCCTCAAAACACACCCAGGTTTGAAACCTGACTATGGTGCTCACTAGACCTTCTTGGATAAATTACTTTAATTTCTTGGAGTCTTAAAGTTTTTGTTTGTTGTTAATGTTTAAAAACATACGACTGATGGTAAAATTACAAGTTTGTTGTATAGATTAAAGATGCAAATAAAATGTCTCGTACACTGGATAATAGTAGGTAATCTGTATGTTGTTGGCACTTGTAGTCGAGTCACGTGTTTTATTCCTTTGGTGAGATGTCACTTTCTCAAGGGAGAGCTTGCCTGACTGTTTAAAAGTTCAGTCTCCTCTCCATCCCAGCAACCCCGATCCTCATCAACTCCTCTGTTTTTCTTCACAGTGTCTGCCACCATCTGCTGTACTCTGTATTTGATTTTTTGTTGCTAATTTCTACTCACTACAATAGTGTGAACTCTATTGTTAAGTGCCACCAAGTCTGTTCCGACACATGTTGTTGTTAATTACAATTGAGTCGGTTCCAACCCATAGTGACCCTGTATAGGGTTTCCAAGGAGTAGCTGCTAAGCTTAAACTACCGACCTGCAGTTCAAACCAACTTTACAGTCCAGTACATTAACCTATAGTGCCACACAAAAGAGAGAGAGTTCAGACTCATGGAGACTCTGCATAGGGTTTCCGAGGCATGGCTGTTGAGTTTAAACCACTGACCTTGTGGTCCAGTGCTTACTCTACAAGCACTACCCCAAGACTCCTGTAAGCTCAGCAAGGGCAAGGATTTTCTGTGGTTCGCTACTTTATCCTCAATGTCTAGAATGATAGTGAGCTCTGAATCAATGTTTACTAAGTTGCTGTGGGTTAATGCACCAAATTGCAAAGCCATTTGAACTGCAGGGTTGGTAGTTCAAGCTCACCGGCTGCTCCTCGGAAACCCTATACAGGGTTGCTATGGGTCAGAATCGACTCGATGACACTTAACAACAACAACAACAACAACAAAGGAACGAATGAATGAGTGACAAAGTTAGAAAGACAAAAATATCAAGTAGTGAAAACTACTGTAACATGTCCAATTCTATTATCTTTCCTAGTATTTATCTCCCTATGTTTAAGTGGCATCGAGTCAGTTCTGACCCATAGCAAACCCTGTATAGGGTTTCCAAGGAGCGACTGGTGAGTTTGAACCACCTACCTTTTAGTTCAAACAGTTTTGCAGTCTGACGCATTAACCCACAGCACCACATCAG